TCTCTATCTACCCATCAATACATCCTACTTTTTTCTTACTAATTTTTTACAATGCTTTTCAAAGTAAACTGCAAGTATGACTATACTTCCCCCAAAATACTTCAGCATGTATATCATTACTGAGAGTTCAGTATCATTTACAAGTTCTTTTGAGGTAAAACTTACATGCAATGAAATGCACAGAACTCAAGTATACAATTTGGTGGATTCACACAAATGCCATACATTTGTGCAACCCAAACCTTTATCATGATAGAGAACATAACTCTGACACCCAGAAACTTCCCTCATACGCTTATCAATAAATCCCTCATCCCTCCACAACCCCCAGAAGCAATTACCATTCTAATTTTTTTTCCACTCAGATTATCTTTGCCTTTTCTAGAACTTCATCTAAATGAACTCATACAATATGAACTCTTCTATGTCAGTCTTCTCTCACTCAATACAATGTTTTTTATATCCATCCATGCTAGTTTTTTTTTTTTTTTTGTCTTTTATCTTTTTCCGTGTCCGGCAACGGATCGCAACCCTCAGTGTTGCCCCCGTAGCGGTCCGGTGACCAGCAACGGGATTGCAACCCTCGGTGCTGCTCCCACGCCTCGCTCAGCCAGTGAGCGGGAACCGGTCTGTATGTGGGATCCGAACCCTCGGGCGGGAGTGCCGCCGCGCTTCCCAAGCGGCGCACTTATCCAGTGCGCCACCGGGCCAGCCCCCATCCATGCTAGTTTTTAAAAATTATTAGAAGTCAATTTACCTACCATGAAAATGACTATCAAGATGAGACAGATGCCCACAATGATGAGGAAGGGGATCAGGTAGTATTCCAGAGGAAGACTGAATTCTGGAACTAAGATAACGTGGCCCCTAGAAGAAAAAGTTGTCAAATTATGTTAATTAAAAACGAGGAAAAATATTTTTTTAAAAAGACATATAAATATTACAATTCAACACACCATACACATCTCATCTTTTAATAAATGATTTCCGATAATTTAAGGGATGCTTTTTACATCTTTAAGTCTATTTTACATATTTTAAAAAATAACTTGCCTACATAATTTTAAAAAGCTCTTAAACTGGGTAAAGGAAATTAGCCAATCAATACTTACTGTGCCTATCCTGGAGAGAAGTTATTTACTGAATTTAATAATGTAGACAAACGTTATATTTTGTATGCAAAACCACCATAAAAAACAATGGTAGAGCCTTGGGTACCATGTCAACAAGAACCCCTACCTCAACCAAATTACTGTTCATCAGTTCCTCCTTATAGAAAAACTCTAGAGCCACTGTTGATAAAAATTATACTCCTTCCTCCCTATCTGCTTTACATGTACCTGTTGTACCAGGTATAATGGACATAGTCCCTGTACACTACATTCACCTGCGAGATATGGAATGAAAAACTGGTGAAGGAATTCACAAGAGTTGTGGCTTCCTCTCTATTCCTACCTTCTCCACTGCTTGATTGAAAAAATTACAGAAAAGTGTGTACTGTGGGGATGGGGAACAGGAAATGTTACATGCCTTATTTCCCTTTGTTACTAACCAAGTTATTACTTACTGTGATGTTACTATTACAAAAATTGACAGGGACCCATGAAATAAAACTGGGACCAGAATAAGCACACTATTTGAGCTGCATGAGAAAATTTTACATGGCATCAAAAGCGTGCCTCAAAAATTTTAGTCTAGGGAAAAGTCTGTATAATGTTCTGTAAAATGACTGATCTCTCCATTGGGTCCACTGTGCTACTAGACTAGTATGGTGCCAGCAACACTACCCTGTTAACCACTGCTGGGCTATTTCCAGGCAGTGAAACCAGGTACTTCATAACACAAGGTTTCAATGCAAAACAATTCTCAGATAAAAACATGATGCCTTTCCTCATACGAGGTGCTCAGAACACCACAGTGCTTAAGAAAAATAACATAAAAACAAACTATTTCTCTTCCAAGCCTGCTTTTAAATCTTCATACTATTATTTATCATACATCCAAGGAGCTCTATCAAGTTTCACCAAAAACAAAAAGAAACAAAAAAGATAATACCAGAAATTTCCCCCCCAATAACTTTAATACTTTGCTAAATCTGCTAGGATTGCTAGAATACAAGTAGCTTTTTACTTCAATCACCCTCCAGCAGAATGTGGGACGACAACAGCTTCTACATTCATTTTTGTAGCTTTGCATAAAATACTAAAGTGTCTGATGTATTATCAGTAAAAAATTAGAAAATCAGCAGCAACAGGCCTAGACTACTCTATTTGATACCATTTCTTCCAGCATGAGGCCAGCTCTGTAAATATGTCCCTTTTCTACCTAAACCCTATGAAATTGCCCTAAGTTAGTGGTACCACTTTTAAGTATAAAAACCTTTCTATGAGACACTAATCTTCTGCAACCTCCCTACCCCACACTCGCCAACCTGCTATAAACTAACATTGTTGGGGTTTAGAAGCCAGACAACTGCGTATCTTAAATTTAACCCATTGTAGTTTCTTAATATCTCAGCAGGAGGAAAGCTTACACCTCTTCTATTTTTTTATTATGTTTATGACTTTCTAAGGCACATTTCGCCTGGATGAGATAAATAAATACCATTCTATGAGACAAGCCCCAGTGTTGCTCAGAAATGAAAGAACTGCTAGGTGAGAAGATGCAAACTAAAATAAGAAATCAGGAAGTCCCAATAGACCAGAAATATGACACTTAACTAGAAACTTCCTGTGTGTTTGTAACTACAGAAATGGAATCAATTCCCGAATTTTCCAATAAGCACTATGTTAGGATTCATAGATCTGGGTTCTGAACTTAATGTTCTTCGTGTCCTATTAACGCTTTCCTGAAATATCTCAAATCATTTTAGTTTACTGTCACAATATATTGTGAGGATTTTTAAGGGTCTACAATTGACAGAACGTTTTAAGGATCTTGAATCAAAAGCTCAATATACACTGAAGATACTGCTTTTTCTTAACCAAATTACTAATGGTAGAGGTGGTTATAGTGATGATATAAAGTGAAGAACTACAACAGAATATCAGTCCTAGAACGTTTTAAGGATCTTGAATCAAAAGCTCAATATACACTGAAGATACTGCTTTTTCTTAACCAAATTGCTAATGGTAGAGGTGGTTATAGTGATGATATAAAGTGAAGAACTACAACAGAATATCAGTCCTCTGGCTTCATTTCTATTTGCTGTGTCTGCCCAGCATTCCCACAGTTCAGCCTGCAGACTCATCGTCATCCTAGTCACAGATTATTTTGTATTTGAGGAAGAAGATATTTAAACAGCTTTCGTAAGTACCTTACCACACTGTCCCAAGTCCACCACTAAACACAGTATATACCCCAGGAGTTCTGCAACTAAGACATGATCATTGAAGCAGAGTCCTAAGTAGTCCAGGACATAGGGTCTTATTCTCTTCTGTATGAGTTCCCAGGCTAATTTCAAACCAGGTGTATAAGTCTAAACATTATAATAACAACCTGTCTAATTTCCCAGTCCCTCCACTGACACATGAAATCTTGCATTCTTGTCTGTTCTTCCTGACATCCAATCGCCACCAACCAAACTACTGAGGCCTAATGGACAGACCAATTTCCCAGGTAACTAACTGTGATCAGCCCAACTGTTGGATACCCCAGTATTTCAGCTGACTACTTGGTTGAACTTGACCCTTAAAGACAAAGCTCACAGCTGCCTCATCAAACATCCTACATCTCTTACTAGACAGGCCCAGTGCTCAGCCCTGGATTCCCATTTTTGGAACACCCTCTTTTGTCGCCAATACACTGCTCTGTCTTGTTGAGGAATCCTGAAGAAGCACAAGTGAGTGCTAGGAATGAAATTTTTAAAAAACGTAGTCCTTAACCATGAGAGAGAATATGGAGATCTTAGAGCTGAAAGGAACCTCAAGGTTCTTTGTTCTGACTCTTCATTTTGGAAAGAGAAAATTGGTAATGAAGATTAAATGACCTCCTAAAGGGCACGCCGTAGCAATCTCTCCAGCGTACCTCACTACTCACTGTGATCAAAAACAATCCTTTTTCTGCCCACAACTTGCAAAAGTTTTATGTCATCCAGTAATTTATTTTTCCTAGAAAAAAGTTACAAAATGCTCCTAGAGTTCAAGTGTTTAAAAGACCAAAATGGATACAGGACACCAGACAATTTAAAAAAATGTTCCCTATGAATAAAGAAATGCTAGTTTGACCAATGAGTTTTCTTCTATCAGACAGTCAGGAAATTAAAGACTGATAATATATACAATGTTGGCAGAAGTAGGGGAAAACGCTGGCTTTCCTAAAAATGTTGGTGGAAACATAATTGGTTCACCTTTTTTGAAAGGCAATATGACAATTGTTTACTGAAATTTAAGACTGTTTATACTTAATCTAGAAATTCCATTTTCAGGTGTTTTTACTAAAGAAACATTTGTACAACTGCACATAATGTATGGTCAAGGATATTATTATAGCACTCCCTGTGGTGGACAAAAATTGGAATGAGGATAAGAGTTAACATTTATGAAGCATTGACTATGTACCAGGCATTCTAAGAATTTTATTAATGTGCTTAATCCTCCCTGCCTTCCTTCTTTCCTATTTTTAAAAGTAGGGAGACTAAGACCTAGAGATGATAAAATTTTTGTTGAAGGTCACAAAGCTAAGAAGTAAGGGAAGCCAGGATTTGAATCCACACACCTCTGACTCTAAAGGCTATGCTTACAGCCAGAGGCTTTACTGATTAGGTAAACTGAGGTATATCTAAATAATGAACTACTATCCTATACTTTTTAGCAGTAGTTAAAAGAATGAACAGTAGCTAAAAAGAGTGACCTACAGTAAAACAGCAATTGATGGATACTCTCTAATATGATAAAAAGCCAGAATCTTACTAAAAGAAGAAACAAGAAGCTTTCTCACTAACCAGAGGAAAAAGACAATGATGCCTGCTATCTCCACTAGTATTTAACGCAGTGTTGAAGGTATTAACAATGCAATTAAATAAGAGAAAGCAATCAGAAACATAAGAATTAGAAGGGAAAAGATAAAACTATTCCAATTTGTAATGGAAAAATTACCACCAACAGTAAGAGAATTTAGTCAAATTGCAGGTTATAATAACATATAAAAGTGAGCTTTCATATACACAAATAAAAACCACTTACTAGATGTAATGAAAAAGAAGACCCCACTTACGACAGCAAACAATAAAATAGCTAGGAATGAATTTAAGAAGAAATGTTTTTCTCACATAGATTTTGAACTAAAAAACTAAATTCCTGAGTACATAAAAGCAGAATTGAACAAACAAAAGGATATACCAGGTTCTTAAATAAGGATACTTATCCTAAAAATATCAATTCTCTCTAAATTAGTTTGTAAATATAAGGTAATACCAATAAAAACATCACTAGGTTTTTCTGGAGCTAGACAAGTTGATTATCACATTCCTTTGGAAGAGAAAATTGGAACCCTCATACATCAAGGGGAGGAATATAAAATGATGTAGGCACTTTGGACAAACCTCTGGCATTTCCTCAAAAAGCTAAACACAGAGTTACCATATAACCCAGCTATTCCCATTCTAGGAATATACCCAAGAGAAATAAAACATATGCACACATAAAATCTTGTACACAAATGTTTACAGCAGCATTATTGATAATAGCCAAAATGTGGAAACGTGCTAAATGTCCATCAACTGATGAATGGATAACAAATGTGGTATATATCCATACAATGTAATATTATTCAGCAATAAAAAATAAAGTACCAATACATGCTATAATGAACCTTGAAAACAATTATGCTAAGTGAAAAAAGCCAATCACAAAAGACCACATATTATATGATTTCATTTATGTGAAATTACCAGAACAGACAAATCCACAGAGACAGAAAGTAGGTTAGAGATTGCTTGGGGCTAGATAGGTGAAGAGGGAGCGGGTAATAGAGAGTGATTACAAATATGTAGAGAGTTTCTATTTGAATTGTTGAAAAAGTTCTAAAACTATAATGTGATGATGCACAACTCTGAAAATATACTAAAATCACCAAACTGCATATTTTACATGGGTAAATTTTATGGTATATGAAATATATCCCAATAGAGCTCCAAAAAAAAATTCATTTGGAAGAATAAACAATAAAGAATAACTTAAAAAACCTGAAAAAGAGGAATGGGTGTGGGGAAATGGCCAGCCCTGTCAGACACTGGTGCATATTACAAAACGCTATTATGAAAAATAGCATGTATTGGCAGACAAATGATAATGAACAAAAAAACTCAATTATGCATAGAAATATAGCAGCATCTTAAATAGGGTAGAGAGATGATCATTTTAAGAAGTAGTACTGGGATAACTAGATGGCTATTTGGAAAAAGATATGAATGAATATATTCCTCAAGCCATCTATACAATAAGTTACAAATGAGCCAGAGATTTAATGTTAAAAGTGAAACCATAAAAGTATAAATGTGGGTGAATTCCTCTATAATGTAGGAGTGGGGAAAACTTTAAGACTCAAGAAGACCAGAAGCCCAAAATAAAAAGCTAATATAATTGATTACATTAAAAAAAAAATACCATAAGTAAAATTAGAATGTTGAAATACAAAAACACACTTGTAATCTATCACAAACAAGTGGCTAACATATGTAATACAGAACTTCTAAAAAGGAAAGAAAATGACCAACAACATAATAGGAAAAATGAGCCAAACAGTTCGTGGAAAACACAATGCAAATACTCTTAAACATAAGAAAAAATGCTCAAATTTGCTTGTTATAAGAGAAATAAACAGTGAAACTATACAGGATACCATTTCTCACCTATCCAATAAGCAAAAATACAAAAATCTGACAACATACACTTTGTTGGTGAGGCAGTGGTAAAAGAGACATTCCCATATTCGTATATTGCTGGCACAACACTTATGGATGGAAATTTGACAATATTTAGCAAAACTACATATACATTCAACCTCTGAGCTAGCAATTCCACTTCCAGGAATCTATTCCAAAATAGATGTACACTGGCAAAAAAGTAAGACTCATACATATGGTTATTCACTACAGCAATATTTATAATAGCAAAAGAAAGTAAACAATTCAAATCTCCATCAGTGGGTAACTGGCTGATTAAACTGGCACATCCACAAAATAGAGTTCTATACAGCTTTAAAAAGTACTGAAGAATATCTCTATCTACTCATATGGTGTGATCTCCAGGATATACTGTTAAGTCAAAAGCAGGATGTGAAAGTGTTTATGTAATGAGGGTGGGATATGGGGGAAAAGAGATATATATTTGCCTACAATTTTTTAAATTTAATAAATCAAAGAAAAAACTAAAATCTTTTTAAAAAAATTGTTACTTATAAGTTAAGAATAGGAACAGGATAGACAGGATGGATGATAATTAGAATGTTGACTTCTTTGAATATACACTGTTTTGTTGAGTTTAACTTTAAGTTTGTATGTAATTATAAAAGTCACAACTGGGGGGAAGGGGAACAATCCCTAAAATCTTAAAGCAAATGAATCAAATAGACCTGTGTTTCCAGATGATAGCATCAGCACACAGAAGAATATTTCACATGTCTTTAAAACAAAATAAAAATTTTACATAGCTATTATGATATAGCCTAAGAAGAGAAAGAACTGTTTTTTAAAAATTTTGATAGTACCATTGATATTATTCTTCTGAGTCTGTTGTGTGTGTATTGTATAAATGAATAAATAAATTATTATGTTGGTGTCTTCCAGCATAGAAAAATACAGTTTTAAGATCAAGGAAGTAAAAATCCTGTTGTCTTGAATTCAAATTGGAAGCAACAGTATGCTCTCATGATTTATTGTATCTTTAAAGAACATGTACTTCTTAGCTCTGTCCACTGAAAGAACGAAAGGGGGCCTGAGGGTGGAGTAGGTAGATAGACAGATAACAGATAAATAGGTAGACAGAGTGGGCAGATATATATATATGGATAGATAGAGAGATAGATAGATAGATATCTACAATCCCTTATGCACAATTCTGAAAGCTAAAGAACTTTAAAAAAAAAATTCACTTCAGTCTATTTGAAATGAACTGACATGAGAATATACTCATACATTCATTGCAGATACATTTATTTGTTTGATAATGAGATACTCCCTCAAATCCTATTTGGAATGTTACTTAACTTTTAAAATGCCCAAAATTTTCCAATTCCTCAATACATTTGTCCTCAAAAAGTGGGATCAGGGATTTTGTGGTCTTGTATTAACATGGAAAGGGACTAAATATTAAGCAAATAAAGCAAATTACAAAATATTACGTATCGTATGGTTCCATTTTATGAGCACGTTACCATTACTTAAAGTGAGAAATCAAATATGAAGGAAACCTAAAGGCTCTTTTTAAAACTACAGCTGTTGCTGGGGAATAGCATCGATAGGGACTTCCACTTTAAATATTTTATATTTCTGAATTTTTCCATATTTTACCAGCATGTATGCACTACTCTAACATTTTATAATTAAAAACATGAAATACTCTTTAAAATACATATTAAGATATAGAATTTTTCTAAATGAGGGAATAAGATTAAGGTAAGATCAAGTATTAGTTCTCCCTTCTGTTGACTATCTAAACATGGCTGACAAAATACCCTTGCATAACTATTTTTGATACAAAACCCAAAATGATATTCCTAACATAATAAACATTAAGTTATTAGGAAATATCATTTCGGATGAGATGATCTCGGTATATGTGAACAGTATTTTAAATATCAATACTATATGAGGGAGATGACAAAAACAGTAAACGAGAAACTTTGCCCTCTTCTTTTTATACATTTTCAAACTCAAATATTCATGGATTTTCTCCTTAAATAATTAGAATTGGATTTCATTGTGCCAGTTTCCTCTTTTGGCAAATGTAGATAATAAGTGATAACAACCACCTCTACAGAGTTGTTGTGAGAATTAAATGGATGAGAAATGTAGAAGTCTTGCTTTCATGAGTACCAGGTACTTGCTAAATGCTCAATAAATATTAGTTGCTCATATTATTAATATTTTTCTTACTATTCCTATTAGCCAAAAGTCTGCTCCTGCCAACTATGTTTTGGGGATCTGTTTCATGACAGAAGCTCTAAAGTGTTCATTGCACTGTGTTCCATATTAGATGAGACAGCTGTGCCTTAAGTTAATTTTAGTCTATATGTTACCTTTATAATGACATTTTGCGGGGGGAAGATCCATATAGAAGTTTTTATTCCAAATCAAACTTTTCAACCTTGAAAATTGACTTTTTGTCTTTGTAAAAGTTGGTCACTTAATACACTATGTTTTGGACTGTTTATAAAATAACAAATTTATTTTTAATAAAATACAAACATTTGTTAATAGAAAATGTAATATAAATGTAAATTGCATTGTTTTTAAATTCAGTGGTTTGATTAAACCATAAAATGGAAAGTTTTGTTATCTTTTTAGCAACATGAGTGACTTACTCTCTCTGACATTAATATATTTCCAACATAGGAATCATACACAGAAGAAATAGCACAATACACCAAGTCTTAAAGTCATAATGACTTAAAAAAAGATAATTTAGCACAACAGAGTTGATCTAAAACATAATCTTGTTTACAACTAATATCATATAATTCTACCTTACCATATATTTTTTATATTCATTACTTACCCTTTTTCGTACGTGAATTCACTTTTCAGGGAATTAGCTGATGATTCACCAATAAAGACAGAAGGAATGTCAATTTTCTTTAACACATTAACTGTAAAAAGAATAATAAAATTATTCTTAAAAGCCATACTTAGTGTACAATCAACTTAACTTTCTTCATAATAACAGCAAATGTAACTAGAAAAAATTACAATCAAATTTAATTTTCTATTGGCTGATTTTCCAGATTGCAGATTTAAACTTATCATCAAAGTGGCTGAGAAACACTGTAACATTTACAATAACAAAACTAAATATATATTACTTTGCTTAATTATCTCAATACAAGTCCTATAAAATTAAGACATAATTTTTATTTTTAATATTTGCATTTGATTTATTCCTCTATAGGCATAACTCTAACTGTTAGAGAAGGAAGAAGAGGAAAACATTTTAGGTTTTCTTCCCACACATAACTTAATTCCTAAATGAGAAAGAGAAAAAATTTCTCTTACATACCCATTTTCCAGGAGAGGTGTAAGCCAGAGAATGTAAGAAAAGACCACTTTACAAAGGTCTAAAAAATACCACCACCCATCTCTGGCTTTCCAGAGTGAAAGGCTGACAGACGTTCATAAAGGGCATGGGATAGAAAAGCTGGGTAAATTTCTACTTCCTCTTAAAGTTGGAGTTCATGGTAAAGCTCTGTGTTTTCATTGGTGTCTTTAAAAAATTTGAATCTTTTACCCATATTCAAAACCAAAATCAAATGCCACCAAAAAAGAATTTTGCAAAAATTACCCATTACTCAGGAATAGAAATAAAAACAATTCTCTTAATGTTACTAATAGAAAAATCAGCCTTATTATTAGCTGTGAGTTAATTCAACAGATTCAGCTGTAGAGAAAGTCCACTTATTTTCTTTTGTTATAGTTGTCAAAATAACATTGTTCTACATTTAAAAAAATAATCCGTATGTGTTATGTATTTCAAAAGGGGGGGGGTAAAGAAAACAAAACAAAATACAACCACAATCCTTGCACCCAAAGACAAATATTTTATTTGAAGTAATAAACAGTTCTGTAAGTTTTTACAAATATATACAGTTATGTAACCACAATATACAGGATGTTCCACTAACATATAAAACAGCTGTATAGGAGAAGGTCAATATTAAAAGATGTACTGTGAAACAAATTGTTAAAAAGTCGGGGGTACGGATAATGCCAAAGCACAGAGATGACTTTGGATTTTTCTTTTTTCTTAGAAATCAAAGTTAAGTTGTAATTAGTCTAAAATAATTTGTTATAATTATAACAAGCCTCATGATAACCATAACACAAAAACTTAGAACAGACATACTAAAAATATATATTAAGGAAGCAAAACTTAAGCTAGAAAAAAACACTTAACTACAAGAGAAGGTGGTAAGACCAAAAAAAGGAAAAAAGAATTCAAAAGACAACCAGAAAAAAATAGCAAAACAGCAGTAACAAGTCCCTAAATACCAATAATAACCTAAATATAAACAGATTAAATGCCTCAATTAAAAAACAGAGAGTGGCTGAATAATTATAAGACAAGAACCAACAATATGCCACCTACAAGAAAAATCACCTAACCAGTAAAAACACACACCAGCTGAAATAGAAGGGATGGAATAAGATATTTCATGCAAATGGGAACCAAAAAAGATCAGGAGTGGCTATACTTTTATATGATAAAATAAACTTCAAGCCACGGAAAGTAAAAAAAAGATAAGAAAGGTCATTATATAATGATAAAGGGATCAATTCAACAAGAGGATATAAAAATTCTAAATATACATGCACACAACTCCAGAGCACCCAATTAAATAAAATAATTAATAATGGACATGATGGAAGAGATTGACTCCAATGCAATAATAGTTGGTGACTTTAACACCCCACATTCAGCAAAGGACAGATTATGCAGACAGAAAATTAGCCAGGAAACATCAGAATTAATCTCTATTATAGGCTGACTTGACCTAACAGACATTTACAAAACATTTCATCCAGCAGCTGCAGAATACACATTCTTCTCAGGAACATAGGCAACATTCTCTATAACAGCCCATATGTTGGGTAAACAAAATTCTCAATAAATTTTTAAAAATCAAAATAATATCAACTACTTTGTCTGACCACAATGGAATAAAACTAGAAATCAAGGACAAAAGGGACACTAGAAACCATATGAATACAGAGATATATAAACAATATGCTCCTAAACAACAAATGCATCAAAGAAGAAATCAAGAAGGAAATTTAAAAATTCCTGGAGGGAAAAAAAAAAATTCCTTGAGATAAATGAAAATGAAAACACTACTTGCCAGAACCAATGGGATACAGCAAAAGCAGTTCTAAAAGTAAAGTTTACAAAAATAAATGCCTAGGTCAAAAAAGAAGAAAGACTCCAAAGAAACAATCTAATGTTAAACTTCAAGGTGCTAGGAAAATAAGAACAAACCAAACCCAAAATTGGCAGAAGAACAGAAATAACCAAGATCAAAAAATAAATGAATGAATTAGAGATTAAAAAAAAATACAAAAGATTGATTAAATAAAGAGCTGGTTTTGGGAAAAGATAAACAAAATTGATAAACCTTTAGCTAGAATAATGACCAAAAAAAAAGAGAAAACTCAAATAATTTCAGAAATGAAAAGGAGACATTACAACTGATATGACAGAAATACAAAGGCTCATAAAAGACTACTATGAATAAACTATAAGTGAACAAACTGGAAAAACTAGAAGAAATGGATAAGTTCCTGGACATATACAACTTACCAAGGTTGAATCATAAAGAACTAGAAAACCTATACAGACCAATAAAAAGCAATGAGATTGAAACAGTAATAAAAAGTCTCCAGCAAACAAAACCTCAGAACCAGATGGCTTCACTGCTGAATTCAACCAAACATTTAAAGAATACAAAGCCTTCTCAAACTCCTCAAAAAAATTGAAGAAATACTTCCAAACTCATTCTACAAGGCTAACATTAACCTCATACCAAAACCAGAAAAAGACAACAAAAAAAGAATACTAGAGACCAATATCCCTAATTAACACAGATGCAAAAATCCTCAATAAAATACTAGCAAACAGAATCCAACAACACATTAAAAATATCATTCATCATGATCAAGCAGGATTCATCCCAGAGATGCAAAGATGGTTCAACATGCACAAATCAACAAACATGATACATCGTATCAACAGAATGAAGGGAAAAGCCATATGATCATTTCAATAGATGAAGGAAAAGCATTTGTAAAATCCAACACCCCTTCACAATAAAAACACTCAACAAATTAGGTGTAGAAGAAATGTACCTCAACACTATAAAGGCTATATATGACAAACCCACAGCTAGTATCATACTGAAAGAACAAAAACTGTAGGCTTTTCCTCTAAGATTTGGAACAGGACAAAGAAGCCCACGTTCCCCACTCTTATTGAACGTGGTACTGGAAGTTTTAGCCAACGCAATAAAGCAAGAGAAAGCAACAAAGGGCAACCAAATCAGAAAGGTGGAAGTCAAACTATCCCTACTTAAAGATGACATGATCATATACATAGAAAACCTAAAGACTCAACCAAAAAATTACTAGAATAAATTAATTCAGTATAGTGGCAGGATACAAAAACCAATAGCCTTCCTATATGCCCATAGTAAAATAGCTGAAGAAGAAATTATGAAAGTAATCCCATTCACAATAGCTACCAACAAAAGAATAGAAAAGAAATACCTAGAAGCAAGTTTAACCAAGAAGATGAAAGACCTGTACAGTGAAAACTAGAAAACATCAGTGAAAAAACTGAACTGGACACAAATAAATGGAAAGATATCCTGTGTTCTTGGATTGGAAGAATTTACATCATCAAAATGTCTATATTACCCAAAGCAATCTACATATTCAATGCAATTCATATCAAAATACCAATAACATTCTTCACAGAAATAAGTAAAACAATCTTAAAATTTGTATGGAATCCCTTATAACTAAAGCAATCTTGAACAAAAAGAACTAAGTTGGAGGCATCACACATCCTGACTTCAAAATATACTATAAAGCTATAGTAACCAAAACAGCATGGTACTGGCATAAAAACAAACAAATAGACCCATGGAACAGAGTAGAGAGCCCAGAAATAAACCCACGCACTTAAACAGCCAACTGATTTTTGACAAAGGTGTCAAGAGTATGCAGTAGGGAAAGCACAACCTCTTTTAAATGGTGCTGGGAAAACTGGATATCCACACGCAGAAGATTGAAACTAGACCCCTATCTCATACCACAAAAATCATTTCAAAATGGATTAAAGACATAAATCTAAAACCCAAAACTACAAAACCACTGGAAGAAAATATAGAAGAAACACTACACCATACGAAAGTGGGCAGCACTTTTTTGAGCAAAACTACAAAGGCACAGGCAACTAAAGCAAAAATACACAAATGAGACTACATCAAAAAAGAAAAAGCTTCTGCACAGCAAAGGACACTATCAATAAAATGAAGAAACAACCTACAGAATAGGGGAAAGTGATTGCAAACTACATGTCAGACAAGGGGCTAATATCCAGAATATATAAGGAGCTCAAACAACTCAATAGGAAAAACACAAACAGCCCAGTTAAAAAATGGGCAAAAGGATCTGAACAGACATTTCTCAAAAGAAGACATACAAATGGGCAACAAGCACATGAAAAAATGCTCAAAATCACTAATCATCAGGGAAATGCAAATTAAAGCCACATGAGAGTGAGACTCCATAAGTCTGCCTGCTGCCATCTCAATCTCCACATGCTGGTGCCAAAATAGGTGCCACAGGCCACCCATAGCTTACGACTCAGAGGTGGAACTTGAGTCCTAGGAGAGTGGCTTGAGTCCCAGGGGAGTTGCCTGAAATCCTATCCCAGGGGAACTGAGCATTTCCTATCTCAATTTGATTATATATATGACATCAGATTTTATTCTGGAAATAAGAATTTTGTAATTAAGATGGCAGAAGAGATGGACCCCAGCATCACTGTCTCCCACAATTCACCAATTCACAACAATTAAAAGCAAAGACTACCAAG